GTTCTAGGGCCAGCAGAGGGCGCACGCAGGTGGTGGCTGTGAGGGGAAGGTGAGGTCAGCTTTGGACAGGTTGAGTCAGAGGCACCTGGCCTGTGGCTTCCACCCATTCCCCACCTACGAAGCACCTCTCAGACACACCCGCTGGGGAATGAAGGCAAACCCTGTCTCCGGCGTCCCACAACCCCCACGTGCTCTTCCTTCTCAACGTTCCTGAAAGCAGATCAAGATTAGCCTTTGGGTCAACAGCACTGGCCAGGTTTCTTCTGCCTTAGCTTCTCTCACCACCAACGGCTTCTTCCAGTCTGGTCTGGCACTATAGTGGGACCTAGCAGGCGGCTACTTCCAAAAGTTCATGGGGGAAAAAAGTACTGTTAAGTGTTCTGAATGGGTCCAGCGCTGTGGTTTAGCAAGTAAAGCCACCATTTGCCGTGCCTGCATCCCACATGGCCGCCAGTTTGAATCCTGACTGCTCCACTTCCGATCCAGCTCCCTGCTACCGTGCCTGGGAAAGCAGCAGAAGATGGTCCAAGTCCTCGGGTCCCTGCACCCACATGGGAGACCTGGAAGAAGCTCCTGGCTCTTGATCAGCCATTGCAGCCATTTGGGGAGTGAACCAGTAGATGGAAGATCTCTCTCTCAAATAAATCTTTTTTTTAAAAAAGTGTTCTGAGCAAGAAATTTTGAAATTCATGCAGTTCTTGCATAATACACACTTGCCGTGAACTTCCGGAGCTCCCCGGAATGCATGGATTTCAAACACTTTTTTGCAACAGGGTGAGCTTGTATTTCAACTTCTCATAGAAGTTGAGGGGTAGGGGCGTTTGCTGGATGGTCAAAGCATCCACACAGCCCCCCAGTCTCCCAGTGCCTGGCCTAGCTAGGGTGTGGCCCTCAGAGGCTCCATTGTCACTCAACTCCACACCTCCAGCAGGGTCCTGCCTGGCTGAAACTAGGGACCCAAAGAAAAGACCGGAGGCCCGGCCACAGCCTGGATCAAGCCAATCGGAGCCCGAGGGGGAGCACTGCTCGGTGCCCAAGCAGATTCCAAGGGGCAGGCACTGTGGAAAAAGGCTCAATCTACGCTGGCGCACGCGAGGAGAGGCCAAGGGCAGCTCCAGTGGGGCTGGTGGGGGGGAGGGGTTGTCAGGGCCAGACTCCATGATCCCCTTCCAGCAGACGCAGAACCCCGGTTATCTGGGCTTCCTCAGGCGCCAGCCCTGGGCCAAGCACATTGTGGGCGCCCGGGGGGAGGAAGCTGCCACGCCTCCAAGGCCAGGCAGAAGCGGCTTTGTGCCAACAGAGGCCTGGGAAAGGAACTCACTGGGTGTGGGCCAGCCCTCTGTGTGTCCTCCGATGCGTCACTGCCCCTCTCTCGGTCCCTACAAGGCAGGGCCGGCCCAGGTGGCCCGAGGGGCTCTTCCAGTGTGGACGTGAAGTTCACACCCCAGCGACGGGAACCCCCAACGCCGCAGACAGACGCATCAGGGAAAATGTTGGGGCTTGGGCTGACCTTGGCTCACCTAGCCCCTTCCTAAGAGGGAGGAGAGCCAGTAGGGGGATTCCTGGGGCCAGCGCTGTGGTGTAATAGGTTAAGCTTCCACCTGCAGTGCCGGGATCCCACATGGGCACAGGTTCAATTACCGGCTGCTCCACTTCCGATCCAGCTCTCTGCTATGGCCTGGGAAAAGCAGCAGAAGATGGCCCAAGCCTTTGGGTCCCTGCACCCACGTGGGAGACCCAGAAGAAGCTCCTGGCTCCAGATCGGCTCAGTTCCAGCCATTGTGGCTATTAGGGGAGTGAAACAGCGGATGGAAAACCCCTCCCTCCCTGTCTGTCTGTAACTCTGCCTCTCAAATAAATAAACCTTAAAAAAAAGGGGGGGGGGCAGCGCTGTGGCACAGCAGGTTAATGCCCTGGCCTGAAGCGCCAGCATCCCATATGGGTGCTGGTTCTAGTCCCAGCTGCTCCACTTCCAATCTAGCTCTCTGCTATGGCCTGGGAAAGAAGTAGAAGATGGCCCAAGTCCCTGGGCCCCTGCACCCACGTGGGAGACCCGGAAGAAGCTCCTGGCTCCTGGCTTTGGATTGGCTCAGCTCCAGCCGTTGCAGCCAACTGGGGAGTGAACCAGCGGATGGAAGACCTCTCTCTGTGTAATTCTGACTTTCAAATAAATAAATAAATCTTTTTTAAAAAAATTAAAAAAAAGAGAATTCCTGCTCATCCTTGGTCTTCGAGACGTCCCACTAACACCTGCAATTCCTGGGCCCGGGGCTCAGGTCCCCAGCGGCTGTGAGGACAGAGGAGGCGAGGTCAGCACAGCGAGAAGCCCGCGCAGGCGCAGATCAGGGCAGGGCCCACACAGGACACCTGCCAGTCAGGGAGGCGGGAAACGAAGGTGAGGAGGGTTCAAGGCACCGGGGAGAGACCACGGCAGAGGAAAAAGCGTACAAACACATAACAGTCTGAAGGGCTGTGGAGACGGCCCCCGGCTCCTGGCCGTCAGCACAGCCGAGGCCCTCGCACACCACTAAAGGCATTTTATTGGGAAAAACAGAAATTGAAAAGTAGCCTCCAATCTTCTCCCTGCCCAAGGCAGCTGGGGGCCGGCTCCCCCAAAGTCCAGCAGAGAACGGGGGAGGTGGGGGGGCGCCCAACTGGGCCCTCCGCAGGCTCAGGTATAGAGGTCGAAGTCGATGCGTTTGGAGTTGTAGAACTGACCACCCGGGGGATCCAGCTTCCGGCAGTAGACTCCGTCTGGGAAGTAGCCTTCGCTCACCCAGGTCTGCAGGTAGACAGGGCGGGGCTGACACGGCGGGGCGGGGCGGGGCGGGCCGGGGGTGGGGCGGGGCGTGCCGGGGGGGGGGGGGGGCGCTCACCTGCATCTGGGCACTGGTGAAGGGTCCGTAGAGCTCGGCCTCCCCGGTGTTCTCCCACTTATATTCCCACATCACGTCCACCAGGCCGTCGCCCGCCGACTCTGCCTCTGCAACCAGAGGCGGAGCCGATTGGAGCTCCACTGCCCGGCCTCCAGTCCGCACCGCTGCCCCTCCTCTGCCCTCCAAAGCTCACCTTCTCTCTGGGGAGGGGTCGGGGTCTCCAGCTCCCCCTCAGCCACCTCCTCTGCAAACATGTCCAGGGAGGGCGGGGGCGTGGAATCCTGGGCCCCCTGGGTCCGACACCCCAACCCCTTCAGCCGCATGGCCAGGCGCTCTCGAGTTTCCTGGTAAACGCCAAGGTTGCCCCGGGCCACCATCTGGTCAGCCAACCCAGACAGCCGGTCCAGGCGCTGGGGGGAACTGGGCCGCCCGGGCCCCTTGCTGTTCCCTTTGCCCCCTCCTCGGGCCCCCAGCCGCCTCAGTGCCCCGGCCACTGTCTCCCTGGGCAGCAGCAGCTCTAGAAGTCCCTCGAGGAGGGCTTGGGCGCTCAGTGGTGTCTGGCCCAGGCTGTCCTCCTCCTCCGAGTCTGAAGCCCGGCGCTGATCCGGGGGCCGCTCCCTGATCTTCACCTAGAATGCAAGAAAGGGGTCAGGGTCGGGGGCTGCAGGGGGTTGTTTCCTACAAACCTGCTCCAGGAGCCCAGATCCAGCCCCCCCACCCCACCCCAGCCGTGCTGAGCCCTGGGCCGCACCCAATCAATATTGTCCAGCCAGCTGTCCTGGATCTGAGCGTCCCGGTTCAGGAAGTAGTTGCCATCGGCATCAAAGTGGCCTTCCTCCATCTCCTCCTGCAGGTTGAAGGGAGTGATGCGCACCCCTCCCTCACTGGGGAGCGTGGCTGCTTCCTGACCTGCATCAGAGACAGAGTCGCCCCATGCGAGGCATGCAAAAAAAAGAGAGACAGGAACCTCCCTCCCTCAAGTCCCCACTCGTCCCTCCCTGGGTGCTACTCACCTTCCACATCCTCTGAGGCCAGGATGTCATACTTGCTGGACCCCTCGTCGTCATCATCCTCTTCATCGCTGTCCAAGGAGTGCTTGCCTTTGAAGCGGCTCCCGGGACCCCCGGGCCCAGTCACGGGGTCCACCAGCTGAGAGCAGGAAATGAGAAATGCAGAATTCTCAGGTCCTCCCAGGCTCCAGCATCTGCACCCAAGCTGAGCACCCTCCAAACCCAGTCCTGGGGGACCTGCCCTCCTCTTCAGGCTCCGCTCTGCCTCCCCTCCCCCCAACAAAACGGTCTGGCCCCCTCACCTTCTTCCTGGGAACACTGACTTCATCCTCATCCTCGTCTCCCACGCCTTGGAAGGTCACTTTCCGCTTTGGCATGACGGGCCAGGGGGGCTTCCCTTAACCTGATGGGGGAAAAGTTGCAGAGGAAGCGGCCTGAGCGGGAGGCCACCCACTGCAAGAGAACCCTGGCCACAGGACACGCTTCCTGGTGCGTGCCAGGTCCATTGGGAGGGAAGAGCACAGAGAATCGGGGGCCAGAGCGGGAGCTGCAGCCCGGAGGCTCCCACGGCCTCAGCTCGCCATCCCAGAGCTAACGGAGCTGGGACGCCAGGCCAGACGCGGGGAGTATCCCCACCCCGACGACAGGGGCCCGGCTCCCCCACGTGACCACGCCCATATCCGGCCTCCGCAGTCTGAGCGCTACCGGGCTCGGCGGGCACACACACCCGCTCCCGCAACCCCAAAGCCCTCGGAGCCCGCGGGGCCCGGGCCGACCCAGGACCTGGCGCTCCCGGCCGCTCTGCTCCTCCTCCTCGCGCCGAACTCCCAATTCCACGTGGTTGACCCCCCAACTGTCCCGGGGTGTGTACAGATTAGAGGGCGGCACAGCCACGGGGACTCCGGCAGCCAGCCCCGCGCGCGCTCACCTGGGGATCTAGGGGAGGCAGGGGAAGAAAAGGAGAGATGCTTTCACCAGGGCTGTATCCGGGGCACCTGGCCGCCATCACCCGGAAGCGCACGGCGCAGGCCGGAAGTGGCTTCACTCCACTTGAAGGACTAACAGGAAGAGCGGGCGGAAGTAGGTAGTGAGCTAGGGCGGCAACCTCCAACCCTGTCCCCCGCCAGGAGTGACGTGAGCCGCGCGGGTCTGCAACGGCGAGGAGTGTGCGGGCGCCTAGACCCTGATCGGCGCGGAGGATGCCCCGAAGTGGCTTCGATGCCCTCACGCAGCCTCTGGGGGATGCAACTCCACTTAGAGGGGAGCCCAGGGTCAGGATGGAAGGGCAGAGGAGGAGCAAAGCCAATGGGTTCCAGCCCCAGGTGCCCCTTCCGGGGTTCGCACCACCGTTTCCCGCAGACTGGCCAAGTGCCTTACATTCGTCAGAGCTGCGCCCTCTCCTAGCGTGAGGCGCGGCCCTGCTCTTCTCCCTAAGGGAAGCCAGGCTCACCTGATGGCCTCTGAGGGCACTTGGGACACTTTCGGAACCCAGCCGCCTTTAGGACCCAGGGGAAATCACGTGCTCCACGCCTGTCCGCGGAGCCAGTTCCTGATTTCTGAGGCGGGGCAGCCACTGCTGCAGAGGTGGCATTGTCGCGGGTGCCCTGTGGCCAGCCCAGAAGCCCCTGTGCCTGCTCTCAGGTAGGCCTAGGAAAGGGCAATGGTCCCTCCGGCACCACAGCGGTGGGATGAAGCCCCCGCCCCCTTAGCAATCAGGGCCCAGCGACCCCTGCCTAGGTGATGGGATTTGAGGCGGGGAGGTGGGCGGGCCTGGCCCTGGGTGGTGGGACAAGACAGCTAACGCCCAAGGGTGTGCAGGCCAAGACTGTGCCCAGGCAGAGCCTGCTGGAGCTAGGAGGGCGTGAGCATCCTCCCAGGCAACCAGGGGACCACTCCTCTCTCCCCCAGGGTCCCTCCAGGGCCACCACCATGAAACTGCACCGCAAGTCTGTGCTCAGTTTCTTCCAAGGCTGCAGAGCCCAGGCCCCAGACCAGGAGGGCATCTTGCTGAAGAAGGGGGCCCGAAACAGCAGCTACCAGCGCCGCTGGTTTGTCCTCCGTGGAAACCTCCTCTTCTACCTGGAACACCAGGAAGCCCACACTCCCCTGGGCCTCATCCTGTTGGAGAGCTGCCGGGTGGAGCCTCGCCTTAAGGCCGCAGAGCCCTTCGCCTTCACCATCGTGACCCCCGGGGGAGAGGGCACAGGGGGGCGGGCCTACAAGCTGGCCGCAGAAAGCCAGGAGGAGCTGAGGGCTTGGCTGTGGGCGCTGGCCGGGGTGAGCTGGAGGCGGCTGGCTAGGCTGCTTCCCCCCATGGAGGCCCAGTACCGGGAGCTGTGCCAGGCGGCTGGCCAAGAACCCAGGTGCCCCGCCGAGGACTGTGGCTTTCTAGCCATCCTCGGGCCCCACTCCAGCTTCCAGGAGCTGCACGAGCGCTTTGGGAAGGAGATCCGGGTGCTGCTGGCAGTGCACAGAGGACTCCGGGAAGCCAGGTCCCAGGCAAAGCTGGAGCAGCTCAACCAGTGTTTGTCGAGTGACTGAGAGGCAGACCAAAGGCCAGGGAGTACCCATCTGCAGAGATCACCGGAGACCCAGGCCCTGGCTCCTTCCCACCCTGCACCCTAATCCCGGCCCCAAACCCCTTCATCAAATAACACGGCAGGAGACGGCCCAGGGACAACAGCAGGTTCTTTTCCGGTTCCTCAAAGCGCCACAAGGGGTGGGGGCAGAGACAGAAGAAAAATGTAAACATTGGGTTCCACCCCCTGAAGGCCAAGGGAAGACCCCTTACTCAGGGGTTGGAAGGGATGGAGGTGAAGGGGGGGTCCCGGTAAGACGAGGCAGGGGAGGCCTGAGAATACAGAGCGAAGGGGGAGGGGTGGGGGTGTGAGGGGAAGTGGGAGACGTCTTTCCCAGTGCACGTCCCCTTAAATAAACCAGAGCGCAGAGCATTATGGAAACCGAAGGACAGAAGTGGGAGCGGGCACCCCCACCCGCCGGCCCCGTCCTCCATACATAATTACAGCACAGCCTCAGAGACCAGGAGCGAGCCGGGGCCCGGGCTGGCAAGTGGGGGAGACCCCAGGTCCGCAGAAAGGGAAAAGAAACCCAGCTCCCCCCGCCCCACCGTGGGGAGGAGGAGCCACTGGAGTGTAGGAATCCGCGAACTGCTGCCGCCTGCCCCAGGTGGCGGCCCTGTGGTGACAGTCAATCAGGGCAGCACTTGGGGGGGCCGGGGGACTGGGGCAGGAGTGACGGAGACCCCGACTAGTCCTGACGGGGCAGCGGGCTCCAGCCCGGCACGGCCGCCCACGCGTGGCGGCTGCCCTGGCCGCTTTCCTCACGGAGGGTCGGCCGCGGCCCGCTGAGGGGCTGGGGCAGCCTCCCCGGCCAGGCCTGCTCCTGCCCAGCGGCAGAGGGGGCCGCGCAGTCCAGCGCGGGGTCAGAGGTCAGAAGTAGGCGTCCTGCCGGGGCTCGGCGGCCGAGGCCCTGTCCCCGCCGTCCGCGCCGTCCTGGGAGGCCGGGGGCCCGTCGGCCTTGCGCCGCAGCGAGAGCTTGCGGGCCTGGCTCTTCTTCTCCTGCCGCTGCCGCTCCTTCTCCCGCTTCTGCTGCTCCCGCTCCTGCTCCTTCTCGCGCCGCTGCCGCTCCTTCTCCCGCCGCTCGCTCTCGCGCTCCTGCTTCTGCCGCTCCTTCTCCCGCTCCTTCTCCTGCCTCTGCCGCTCCTTCTCCTGCTTCCGGCTCTCCTTGCCGGAGCCCAGGGCGGTGCTGTTGCCGGTAGGTGAGGGCAGGGATGCGTGCAGTCCCTCAGCGGTGACCACGGGCCCTGGCGCCGGCCCGGCACTGGCCCTGCGGGCCGGCGGAGGTGGGGAGGGGGCCCCTGCCGCGGCCCGGGAGCCTCTGCTTTTGAGGCCGGGGAGGCTGAGGAGGCTGGAGGAGGGGCCGAGGGGCGGCTGCTGCCGCCGGCGCTCCTCGTGGATGGCCCGGGAGCCGTGCAAGCGCCGCGAAGGCCGGTACTGCAGCTCGCCCCGGGTCTCTCGCCACTTCTTGAGTTGGGCTGCGTTTTCCCGCTCGATCAGGGCTTCTGTCACCGGGAGATTGGTCACCTGGAGGGAGAGGAAGGGGGTGCTGGAGGAGGGGCAGGGCGGGGACGGGCTGCAGCGGGGGAGGGGCGAGGCCCGCGCCTACCTCGTGCACCAGGAAGTCCTCCTGCATGCACTGCTGGGGCAGGCTGCGCAGCTGCTCCATGGTCTCATACATGCCCTGGCAGGAGCGCAGCTTCTCCACCGAGCCCAGCGTGTGCCGCAGCAGCACCAGGGCCACTCGGAAAATGATCTTAACGCCTGCAGGGTCAGGGCACGGAACGAGGCGGGGTGAGACCCAGGATCTCAGCCTCGGCGCCCCGCGCCACGTCACTGAGGGGGAGACCGAGGCCTCGAGCAGGTAGATGAACTGTTTGGGGTGTCAGACCCCTGGGAGGGAGCGACAGAGCCGAGATCAGGCCTCCTGACGACGAAGCCCCGGAGCAAGGACCTGTGGTCCACGGCCCCTGCGAGGGCACAGAACCTCCTGGCAGCCCCCGCAGAAAGCCTAGCCCCCTCCTGGCCCGGCCGGCCACCGAGTTACCTTCACAGAAAAACATGTCCCAGACGCGCAGGACTGACGCCCAGGGCAGCGTGCGGGCAAAGATGCACATGAACCACTCCGTCATGTAGAGCACGGGGTCGATGCGCTGCCGCCGCAGGTGCCGATGAGCCAGCGGGGAGGCCCGGCGCAGGAGCGCGAAGAAGATCTCTCCGTCCAGCTGGATGGCCTCCTGCAGGTGGGGTGAGCCGTTCGAGAGGGCCTGGCCTGCTGCAGCCCCCGGGCTCCGCGGCGGGGGGAGGCCCAGAGAAGACAGACAGACGGGCCGGGGGGTAGGGCAAGGCCCCCCCGCCACCTGGGGGAACAGCCACGGCCCCACGCGCCCAGCCTGCACACTCACCAGCCCTGCACTGTAGTAACCGGGGAGGTACTTGTCACAGATCTGCACCAGGCACCAAAAGGCTTGCTGAGGGGGGCAAGGGTAAGGGGAGAGGTGGGGCTGAGACATGGAGCTCCCCCGCCTCCAGCGCAGGCCAAGAGCCCCGCCCCGCCGCGCCCCAAGACCGCAGATGCTGACCTCAGCGGGCATGTGCATGAGCAGCACGGCGGCCACGGGGGCCTGGGCCTGGCAGTAGCCCTCGTCGGGCCGGTAGATGGTGTAGGCCTTCAGGATCCGGTACAGGTCCTGCTGCCTGTGGGGATTGCGGGAGAGCTTCAGGGCTGTCGGGGGCTCTGGACCCCCAACCACACTTGCCCCCACAACACACACTGCAGGCCAGACCCCCATGCCGTTCCAGGTCAACCTCAGGGCTTCCCCACCGCATGTGTCCTGCCTATCCAGCGTGAGCCAAAGGTTCAGACCCTGGGCCTCTGCCCGTGGCTGCGCACCCACGTGCTCCAAGCCCAGAACAGGCTGCACCCTCTCCCTGCTTCATCTGCCACCATCCCATAAGCCTCCAAGGTCGTTTTCTCCAGGAAGCCGTCCACAGCCGCAGCATCTGCCTCCTCTAGCACTGCCCGGAGGATGTGTTTATCGCCGCAGGGCAGAGCCTGCCTTATCTCTCCCACTGGCTTTGGCCAGTTCGCCCCGGCCTGGAAGCAGCCGTGCCTCCCGTCTTCCCGGTCTCTGCATCCAGAAGAACCTCTGCCCTAGCCCTGGTCCTCTCCCTCGAAGGGGCCCCTCCGCCGGGTCTGGGACCTGCATCCACTCAGCGCCCCACCAGGACAGAGAGCCTTCCTCTCTCCCACGGCCAGTCACCGGGGCCAAGCAACACCACACGCTGAACCCCCTCACGTCTCTTCCTCTGGCTCCACGGCCACTTCCAGCTTAGACCTCCACCTCCTGTCCAGAAAAAAGTGATGCCCCCAGGCCCCGTCCCAGCCTGCATCTCACACACTCCTAACAGGACGGCTTCCCCCAGAAGCCGGCGTGCGCACATGACCCTCACCTGTGTTTTGCCTGCATCCCACCTCTGCTACTATGAACTGAGCATCTTTTCCCGCTCGGCCAGCGCCTTCTTCCAAGACCAGTTACACAGGTTGGTCTCTAACTCCCACAGGTGCCCACGCGCCCCCCAGCCCGCTGCTTCTCATTCCCGTCTGCTGCACTGGTCCTCCTTATCTCCCCACTCTCAGAACGCTGGAGCAGCAGGGCTCATTCTTGGACATCTACCCTCGTTGCCCTGGAAACCGCATCCAGCCCCGTGGGTAAGGTTCAGTCCCTCTTGAAGTTGACAGCTCCAACTTCCAGTTTCTCTCCAGTTTCACCTTCTCCCCTGAAACCCAGACTTCTGTGCGTGACCCGGCCGAGCTGCTCCCCGCTCCATCTGCGTGTCCAAGGAGCATTCTGAACCAAACACCCAAAGGCGAGCTCCCAATGCACCCAGGCCCACCTCTGCCCGCTTTCCCAGGCGCACCCGCAAACAGTCACCCCATCCTTCTCGACTCCTCAGGCCCCAAATCTCACAAGTCAGATTTAACCTCTCTCTCTCTTACACGCCACGTCTAAACCATTAGCAACTCCTCGAGTCTACCTCAAAATACACTGGGAATTCAGTCACTTCTCCCGACTTCCTCCGCAACCCTCCGGGTTGACCCATCGTCATCTCTCTCCTAGACTAGGAAAGAGCCTCCTCCCAGCTCTCACCCTGCCCTGGCCCCCAGGAGTCTGTTCTCAACGCAGCCGCCACACGCCTGGAGCCTCACCCCCATCGTCTCCTGCTCTGGCGCCTCTTCCACCCCCACCCCCACTTCACACACAACACCCTGCCCTCCTTCTCTGGCGCTAGAATATGACCAACCCCGCGGGGCGGGAGCTTTTGTCTTTTCGACCACTGCCGTCATGGATGCCTCGACCCAGACAGCAGAGAGCGAGCGCTTGGTAGGCCCCAGGAACGGATGGACTTCTTGCTGGAAGCCGGCCACCTGAGGCTGACCTTGTGCGCTCCTCGAGAGCGGTCTGCCAGCCCGTCTTGAGGAAGCTGGGCCGACAGAACAAAACCCGAGTGCCTTGGCCCACCGCCAGGGGCTCCTGACGACTGAGCTCTGCCCAGCGCCACTGCCCAGACACACAGCAGCTACGTAACGCCTCGGCCAGCAAAACCCTGCCCCCGGCTCCGGCTCGCATCTCTTTCAGACCACAGCTCCACACACACCCCTCCCCAGACCCTTCATGTGACAGGAGCTGACAGTCCACGACGATCCCTCTGCCAGGCGTCCGGGAGGGCGAGCGCTGCTCTCAGCCCGCCCCGGGTCCCCCTGGAGCCTCGCTCACCACCCGGTGCAGCCGGGCCGCCTTACCCGTGCCCGCCGCGAGCAGCAAACATCTCGTGGAACGGGAACTGGCGGTGCAGGTCCTTCTCAATCACGTCCAGCCACTTGGGGTCCCCGGGGGCCCGTTCCAGCTCCTGCAGCGGACAGCAGGGGTCAGCTGAGGGTGGGGGAATGGGCGCCCCTCGCAGACAGGCCCGCAGGTCCGCACGCACCTCAAACTTGCCCGGGTTCTGCTCCAGGAGCTCCTTGCTGTTGGACAGGTACTGCCAGGCCTTGGCGCGCAGGGAGGAGGGGATCCCTTTCCGGCAGCGCAGCTTCACCTGGGGCGGAGGGGCAGCAGGGCCGGCTTCAGGCCCCGGGACACGCCTCCCACACCCCACCCCTGCACTGTGCTGCCCGCCCCTCAGCCCTCTCAAACCTTCTGGAAGCGCCGCAGCAGCCACTTATCCCAGCTACTGAACATCTCCAGCCACTTGAGCTCCCGCTGCCGCGCCACATCCACGGGAATGGAGCTCTCTCTGCGGGGGGGGGGGGGGGGGGGGCAGGAGGAGGTCAGTGGCCGTGGTATAAAGCCGGGATGGCGGGGAGCCGGGGCCAGCCCCTCCCCGGGCTCCAAGGAGAAGCTGGTCCCTCTACGCGCTGTCCCACACGGGGTGCCTGGCCGTCTGGCCATCGCGGCCCCAGTTCACACCCAGAAAAGGGCTTCCTCCCCAGCTGTCAGCTATACGGAGATGGTGCTCACTCCCACTGTGACACATCCGAATCTGGGGAGTCACGTTTTGGGGACCAGTGTTGTAGCGTAGCCAGTCCAAGTCCCAGCTGCTCCACTCTGCTCCAGCTCCCTGCTAATGGCTCGGAAGGCGGCAGAAGATGGCCAAGCGCACTGCAGCCATCTGGCGAGTGAAGCAATGAACGGAAGCTCTCTCCCCCTCGCTCTGGAACTCTGACTTTCAAATAAATATGTAAATCCTAACCAGAAGAAGTCTTGTTTTGCACTAGACTGGCTTCCAAGCCCTAGTTTCAGCACCTTACTCCCTGTGTGACCTTGGGCAACTCATGTCATCCTCCCAAGCCTGAGTTCCTGGTCTGTAGGGCGTTAATGACAGCACCCACCTGAAAGGGCGTGTTGGCACACAGGGAGCAGCGCAGAGGGCGAGCTGAACCGCCATCATACCAGATCTGGCCTCCTTACAGCCCACTGTTGGCGCTTCACCCACCAGACTCAGACCCCTTGGCCTCCGCAGTCTCCTCTACCCCTCCTCCAGGAAGTCATCCCAGATTTCAGGGGAACAAAGTTCTCCTTGCCCCGTCTGCCCACGGCTGTGTCAGAGCTTGGCCGAGCTCAGCCACCTCGAAGGAGCCAGGACCAGGGCAGAGTGGAGTGGAAGAGCGCGCCTGAGAGCAAACCCAGGGCCGCCCCTTCAAGCTGAGGAGCCTCGGCAGGTGGGGACCAGCCACATCCAGTCGCGAGGACCACTGAAAACCACAGATCAAGGACCACTAAAGAGCAGGGGCTAGAACTCCCCAAACACAGGCACCCTCTCTCATTCATCCCGACCACAGGTCGCTACCTTTCCTGCCCCCAGGAACGCCCAGCCCAAGAGGGAGACAGCTGCACCCCCCAAGACACACAGGAGAGGAAGCTGATATCAGGGCAGGCTTCCTGGAGGCAGGAAGCTCAGCAGGCACTGAGGACCGAGAACCGAGCCGGGAAAGAGGGCAGGAGGGCTCTCCTGGCAGGTAGGAGGCAGGGCCACGCGCACAGTGCCGGGCAAGGAGTGCTGGGAGAGCAGAGGCCGGCAGGGCTGGACAAAGAGGAGTCTGTGTGCAGGCTAAGGAGCTTGGGCTTCGCCCTGGGGACAGTGGGGAGCCGCAATCAGCTTTGCTCAGAGGTGGGCTCCTCGGGCATGGGCGATGGGCTTATAGGGATCCAATGACGAAGCAGGGCAAGAGCACCCCGCAGCCCCTGGCGCACAGGCCGGGCTCTGAAACCAGCGACAGCGCGGTGCTGGGGGGCCGCCGGGACCCAGACCCAGGCTACCCGAGAGCGGTTCACTGAGCAAGTGCTCCGTCTGGGAAAGCACCAGGGTCAAACTTCAGGACCCGGGCGCTGCCACTCAACGGAAGGTTCTCCAGTTTTTACTGCCTTATAACCCCCGCCTGCAGTCCCCTCCCACAGCCTCCCCCCCCCCCCAGGCTCACACAGCCACCTGCTTAGGCTCCACAGTTTAAATCAGCTTCAGCTGAGGTCCCAGGCCAGCCAAAAAGCCCCCTCCCCGTGTGCTCCTGGAACCATCTGCCGGCCTCTGGGATAAAGCCAGGTATTGCAGTGCAGGCGACTGTCCGAGCACCAGTGTCTGCCCCCAGGTGACGCGATCCTGGGAAGCCGGGTTCATCCTTGGGACCAGGCTCAGGGCCTGGCCACCTGAGGGGCCGGGGGCATGGGGTCGCGGAAGTGACCAGCAGGTTAAAGGGGCACCAGGCCACGGGCAGGATCTGGAGGGAGGCCAGCAGAGGTGAGCAATCCCTCCCTTCTCCCGGTGACTCAGGCCCCCCGGAGGGCACTAGGAAAGAGTCAGCCAGGCTGCAGGAGGTGAGGAAATGGGGAAGAGGACTCGGCCACCCCCTCTCCTCCGGGGAAAGCACAAGCCCCCGCCCGCTCCGTCGCTGCCTGCAGGGTCTCCCTCCATCAACCAGGCTGCCCTCCCCCGCCACCCCCTGGCCGCTGCATCCAACCTGGGGGATGCAGGCCGCGGGCGCCAAGGCCCGTCTCACAGCACAGCGCCAGGGGCAGTGACCTTCCAGTATCACCACACCCGACTCCACCGAGGAGGAAATGGAGGTGCGGGGATGCGAATGCCCCAGAGGTGAGCTCTAGGCTCGGCCCCAGCGCTCCCCACCTCGGGGCTGAAACTCCTGCCAGGATGCTCCCGCTACTCATCGCCACCCCCTGCACCCCCCGGGGAGGCTGCGCTGCCCCGGGCTGGCCCAGGTGTGCCACTCCCCTCCCCGGGACAAGGACGTTGGGTGGGGGGTACTCACAGGCTGCCCGAGTACTGGCTGCCCCCAAGGAAGCCATACTTGTCCGTCTTGCGCAGGGCCAGCCCGTTGATTTCTGAGTCCGAGCCCATGGAGCTCACATCATCCGCCAAGGACTCCAAGGTCCCGGACATGAGGCTCACGGAGTCCAAGTAGCTGAGGGTGTCCGGGGCCTGCCCCCGAGGCCCGGAGATGCCGGGCCCCAGGCTGGACGTAGAGCCAAGGTCTTGAGAGTTTTCGGCAGGTTCCGGAGCGGGGGTCACCGTCACGACGGCCACGGGAGCCTCACACGTCCCCGGAGGGCCCGCGCCTGGCGCCGAGGGGTCCTCAGGAGCCGGCGATGCCGACGCGGACGGCGCCGCTGCGGCCCCGGGTCCACCTGTCACCACCTGTCCTGCTGCACCCCGCGCGGTCCCTCCGGGGGCCGCCGTGGTTCCCGGCTTCGGGGCAAGCGGGGGTTTGGCGGCCAGGGCCCCAGGAGCCATCCTGGAAGGGGTTCTGGTGGGAGTCCCGCTGGGGGTCCCCGGTGCCGGGGCGGTTCCAGCCTCTTCGGTCTTCGGAGGGTCTGTCCCGGAGGCCGAGGCCATGGACGTCTCGGCCGCTGCCGCGGGCGCGGGCGCGGGCGCGGGCGGCTCCGCGCCGGGGGAGACCTGCTTCTCCGAGGCTTCAGCTGAGGCTTCCAGGGTGAGCACCACCACCGTGCTGCCCGCCGCGGCCGGGGTCTGGGCCGGCCCTGGGACCCAGGCGGGCCGCGCCTCCCCGGGGGCCACCAGGGTGACCGGCGCCGAAGTGGCTGTGGTCACCGGCGGTCCCGGAGCCACCACCAGGACCGGCCCGGCCCGGGAACCCCGGGGCGGCGGCGAAGGGGCCGCGGGGGCGCCGTGACGGCGCGGCGGGGCCACCAGGGGCGCCGGGCCCGTCTCCATGGCCGCGGGCCGCCCCTCACATCCCCCCCGCCGGGGAGGCCGCAGCAGGCACCGCCCCTCAGGCCTCCCCGAGCGACGCACCATGGAAGGAAAGAGTTCGAAAGGAGCGGCTCGGCGCGAGACGGGGACGAGACGACGCCCGATCGCCGTCGAAGCCCGCGGCACCAGCGCAAGGGTCCGCGGGCGCCTGGCGCCGGGGTCTCGCTCGTGCCCTCTCACCCCCGCGCGCGCTCTCGCCGCCGCCCCCTCCCTCTTGCTTGGGGCGAGCGGCCGACGTCGCGCCTGCGCACACGCCGCACGGCCGGCTAAGCGGCCAGCGTCTCCGCGTTCCACGCCTGCGCGCCGGCCGGCCCATCGCGCTCCTTTTTTTTCTCCCGCCTCGTTAGAGGATTTGGACGAATGATAAGAGAGGAGGAACTGGGGTTCTGCCAATCGTTGGAAGGGTGGGTGGGATCGGAGGCGGGAAGGAGGTGGGTAATCTGGAAGGAGGAAACGGAGCTGGCAGAGGTCTAAAGGGCCAATCAGGGGGTGCGTCCAAACAGGAGGAGGCGGGACTAAAGGAGTAACTAATAGCAAAGCGGAAACCTGAATCTTCTGGCCAATAAGCATGGCTGAGGAGGGAATGACCGCGGAAGGGCGGGGATGGGGGCGGGTACTGTGCTGTAGGAGGCGGGGCCTGCGAGCCTCTCGCTAACGAATGGTAGAAAGTGAGCCAATGAAAAGGGGAGTAGGCAGAGGTCGAATGAACAGACAGTGAGCTCTATTTGGGTGGTGACAGACAGCATCCGCAGTCAATCGGAAGAGCTGAGGAATTCTTTAGGTTTCCCAAGATGGTCAAGAAGGAATGACAGCCGGGAGAGGGCGGGCCAAACTTGTGATTAATTTTCCAACGCAGCCAACGGTTGCGTTCTCCTACTTGAGCGCCAGGGTGCGATGATAGATAGCTGTCTCAGCCAATGGTAGCATCGAAAGGGCAGGGATGCTACCAGCAGGCGGTGCCAGCCGGGAGATAGTCGGTGACAACCGGAGACAAGAGCGGGATGGGGGTGACAGTCGGAGACAGCGCGGAGAGCCGGGGGGCACTAGCGCAGCGCTTAACCAATAGGAGCGCCGCTCTGTCCTTCCCGAGTCCCCTCTGGGCCGCGTTCTGCCGTCAGCTCGGGAGCCCCCTCGGCTCTCACCCCGATGGGCTGTGCGATCCAAGGCCGTGGTCCATCACGCCTGACTTCTCACCGTCCCTAATTCTCCAGCCCCGGCGCCCCGCCAAGCCCAGGCGACTCCAGCCAGAGCCCCCCAGTCCTCTAACCGGCCCATCCCTCTGGATCCCTCATTTCCTGCGGGAATCCGCAGCTGCATCCTCCTGGGTTCCTCCCCAGAATCCAGGCTCCCAGCCCTCAGCCCTGACTGCCCCGCACCCCTTCTGGATCCCAGAAACCAAGTCCGTGAACCCCCAGCACCAGGAGCACCCCATATCTGCGTCCCTAGTCTTTGGGGGAGCTAGGACCCCAGTCCCATCAGTCTTCCCTCTTTGCCACATCTCTACTCCCCATTTTCTTCTAAGAACTCAATACCAGAGGCCCCACAGGACGCCCTAAGGACCTGACCATAGGAGCTCCAACCTTCGGGTTCCTTAACACCTGCTTCTCTCTCTGACCCTGCTGGGGGCTGCAGCTTCGAAGTTCCCCAGTCCCAGTGCAGGCGCAGCTCCTGGCCTCTTCCGTTCCAAGTCCGACCTCCTCCTCTTCAACTTCCCCACCTTCCACTTGGCCCCCGCTTCCTGAGCACGCCCCCAGTCCTCTTTTTGGAGTCCTGCTCCCCACCACCCAGGAATCAGTGGGCCCTTCCGGGGCCTGGACCCCCCACAGTAACCATATAAGGCGAGGCAGCTGCCATCCAAGGCCGGGAGGGGCTGGAGCAGGAGGCCAAAGGCAGCTGCTAAGTTTAGGGCAGCTCCTTCTCTCTTCTTAGACAACAGGTGGCTAGGCCCCAGTGCCCAGAAAAGAAAATGTCTTAGAGGCATTGGCATGGGGCGAAGGAGGGGGAAGGGAGGAGGCCTCTTTCTCAGGACATCAGGTCCTAGAGGGAGCAGGAGGAGGAGGAGTGTCCTTGCCAACCCGGGGCTCCTTCAACCACCGTTTCCCACTGCAGGGAGGGAGTTGGGGCGTTGAGGCCTGGCGGGTAAGATAGGGCACCCCAGAAGCACCAAGAGTGATGACGAGAGAAACCATGGCCATCCCAGCCAGCCAGGATGCCTCCCACCCCAGGACCCTGAGAGACGAGACCATGTCCTTCTCCTGGTTCAAACCTTCCCAAGGCTCCCCAGGGGCTCCTACGGCCCTCCAGCATCTGGGCGCTGGCTCAATTCTCACAACCTGAACACCTCTGACTTTTCCAGGCCTTGTCCACGCCATGGCCTCTGCCTAGCTGGCCTGCCCCTCCACCTCCACCTGACCTTCAAGGAGCCATTGTCATACCCCCCCTCCAAGACAGGGCTGCTCGGCCCCCACTTCTGGGCCCCCGAGCAGAACAGCTGGGATGTCACTTTATGCATTTATTTCTGTCTCTGGGGCAAGACTGTAAATCCACCTCCACCACCACCGGGGCCAGGCCACTTGTTAATTGTAATGCGAGATCTACGGGATGGCCATTTCATCCCCATTTTATAGGGAGACACCGGGGGCCCACGGAGGAAGAGAAGCATCGTTACTCAAAACTCCCCCTGACCTTGATAGGTGATGTGGAAGACCCTCTCTGGACCCCCACCTGCCACCCATAGCTCTCTCCACCCTTAGGCTCTACCCTGGGCCCCTCCCTCCCACACAGACACATCCATGCACTTGACTTCCAACTCCACAATGTGGGGGAATGGGGGGGGAATGTATTTGCTGAAGTGCACCCCAAAAGCTCAGCACGCTGCCTGGCATGCCGCCAGTGCTCACAACACTTCTATGGGGTTTAGATCTGGGCCCAGCACACGGAGTAGGTGCAGGATCCTGGTTCTTGTCTCTCTCAGCGCTGGGCCTTGGTGTGTGCCCCCCCTGTAGGAGGAAAGAACCCCTCTTCCTGCCCTGGTCCTAGTAAGAAACACATCCCAAGACCCACTCCCTCCTCCCTCCCTCTGTGCGGCTCCAGCTGCTGTGGGCCCTCCAAGAAAGGAGAGGCCCTGAGCTGGGCTATTTTGGTATCTGGGGTGGGCACCCACAGGGCTAAGGTTACCCTGGTATGCTAAGGGTTCCCTGGGGCAAGAGTATAAAACCCCAAAGGGAGCGCCCTACACCGACTCTGCCTCTCTGCTCCTCTCCAGCCAGAGCCACTGCCTTGCCCCCAGGAGACCGAAGACATGGTAAGTGTGAATGCCCCCTGCCCCTGCCCTGTCCCCTAGTCCTCAGGGCAGCCTCACCCTTTGGAAGAAAAGAGCTGGTTCCTAATTCAACAAAAGGTAAAAAAAATAAAAAAAGACTATTCCCTCTCTAGCTGTCCCTAAAGGGGAAAAGAACAGATAGACAGTCACCTGTCAAAGGACCCAGCCACTCTCACAAGGGTCCACTCCATCCCTTACCGCCCTCCACCTTCTGGGAGTAGCCAACCCAGGGGCCCCTCTACCTCCCGTTTTATACTTGAGAAAGGGGAGGTTCAGACAGGGGAAAATGAGTTGGATCAGGTTCAAACAGCAAGTTGGAGCTCAGGGGACCGAGAAGGGAAGGAAGCTTCCGCCGATCCATCGGCTGCTTGGGCAGGGTGGAGGGATGCAGACTTAGGGCATCCAGATGGGGAGCCGGGAGACACAACCTATCAGCCCCTTCCGCAAAAAAATAGTCCCAAGGAGGAGGCGCCCCAGGCCAGAGAAGCGCTGTAGCAGAAGGGACTCAGAGACCCCTGAATCTAATCGCTCGCCCCCACAGAGAGGTGTGGGGCCCCGCTCACGGACCCCTTTGCCCAACCCTCACCTCCCAGGCACCCAAGAAGGCCAAGAGAAGGGCAGCAGCAGAGGGCGGCAGCTCCAACGTCTTCTCCATGTTCGACCAGACTCAGATCCAGGAGTTCAAGGAGGTGAGTGGGGGGGGGGGGGTTCGGGGTGAGGGGGATTGAAGGCTGCCTAGACACGGCCTCTGCTGCCCCTCCCCCCCCACAGCCCCCTCCCTGGAATGTGCACCTGTTGGGGGCGGGGGAGGGGAAGGGTTTAGAATTCCCTCCTCCCCTCCCTGCTGTGGGGTGGCGGAGGACAGCTGGCAGGGGGCCAGGATCTGATCTGCCCAGGGTAGGGGGTGCTGGAGCCCGGCCTTGCGGGACCCCCACTCCCTCACGCCATTGCTCTCCGCAGGCCTTCACCGTCATCGATCAGAACCGCGATGGCATCATTGACAAGGAAGACCTCCGGGACACCTTCGCAGCCATGGGTGAGCCGCCTGCCCCCACCCGCAGAGGGCCCGGGCATTCCGTGTGGCCCTGGGGTTCGGTTTCCACCCTGTGCGGTCCATTTGGGGCCTCAGTCTACCAAGCTGGAGAAATGGGCGGGATGATCCAAAGTGATGGGAGCAAGCAGAGCCCTGGCAGCCCCAGGACCCTGCTCCAGCTCGTGCCCCCCTCCCACCCCCACCCCAGGCCGCCTCAATGTGAAAAATGAGGAGCTGGACGCCATGATGAAGGAAGCCAGCGGCCCCATCAACTTCACGGTCTTCCTGACCATGTTCGGGGAGAAGCTCAAGGGTAAGCCAAGTGTCCGGGGTCCATGCCCCTGGCTGCGTCTCCCTGGGTGTGGCGGGGTGGGGGTGGGGGACGCCCGGGGCTCATGTGCCCTCTGACCCCCGCCCAGGTGCGGACCCTGAGGATGTCATCACTGGCGCCTTCAAAGTGCTGGACCCCGAGGGAAAGGGCACAATCAAGAAGCAGTTGTAAGTGACCGCTTCCGCTGCCCCCATGCGGCCGCCTTCGCGTCCCACTTAGGGCTGGGCACTGCTAGAGGCAGGGAGGGACCGTGGACAGGGCGACACGGCCACATATTCACAGCCAATATGGGACAAGCGCCAAAGTGGGGAGGCCGGCGTGTTTGGGAGGCATCCAGAGTGAGCCCGGCCTTCCTCACTCCCCCCCTCCCCCTGCAGCTTGGAGGAGCTGCTGACCACGCAGTGTGACCGCTTCTCCCAGGAGGAGGTGAGCAGGGAGGGGCCCCGCAGCGGCGAAGGGGCGGGCGGGCGGGGAGGGGTCGCGTCGGGATCGCTGCGAGCTGCTGCCCGCGTCTCTCTCGCAGATCAAGAACATGTGGGCGGCCTTCCCCCAAGACTTGGGCGGGTAACGTGGGATACACGTACGCAAGTAGGTCATCACGCACGGGGACGCCAAGGACCAGGAGTAGGCGAGCGTCTGGCGCCTCCGCTGACCCGCGCTCCCGGCTAGCCCGAGCCCCCGCCCCGACTCCCAATAAAATTCGGCTGGTCTCTGTTTCTTATGGGTGGCGTCCCCCGCAGTGTCTGGCGGCCGGGCTGGGGTGGGGCGTGCGGGCTCGCGCCCCGCGGAGGCTCGTTCCCGCTCGCAAGGAAGCTCGGGGCGGGGGCTGGGGTGGGGGGCGCGCCGTCTTTATTCAGTCAGCGAACGCTCGGGCCCGGAGGGGCGGCGCCGGGGGACGGGGCGGGGCGGGGGCGGGGCCGCCAACTCCGGGCCGGGGGAGAGGCAGGCGTTCGGCCCGGGAGCCCGCAACAAAGCGGACGCCAGGGCGGGTCTGCCGGCGGGGGGCTCCGGGCTTAGGCGCTGGGCAGTGTAGGACCCAGGATTGGACGAGAGAGAGACCGAAGGCGGAGCCGAGGTAAGTCAGGGCCGGGGCGGGGGTCCTCAGAGAGCGTCCGACTGCTCGCCCTGAGCCTGGCTCTGCTGCATCTGGGCCTGCATCTTCTCCAACATCTCCTGCATGCGGCGCAGCTGTGCGGGACGAGAGTGCGGGCGGTGGGACCGCGCGAGGCCGGAGGCGCCCTTCCAGGAGGACCTGGGGCCTCGGGTGGGGGGGAGTGGGGGGTGGGAGGCGAGGCGCCGGCTCACCTCCTCGTCTTTCTCGCGGATCAACTTCTCCGTCTCGGCCAGGGGCAGCATGGGCAGAGGGATTTCCGTGGCGCTCTGGCGGGAGAGCTTACTGGGGGGCAGCGGGAGAGGGGCATGGGAGTCAGGGGTGTCGAGGCCGAGAGGCGGGGATCTAGCCGCCTGAGAGCCGGACCCGAGGCGCAGTGGGTGGAGAAAGTCGAAGAGCGAGGCCTGGGCGACACAGGCGGGGCCGGGGCGGGGGCGGGGGCGGGGGCTTGGCAGCGCTCACCTGCGGCTGGCTCGGGCCCCGGGCCGGGCCAGGCTCTGTAGACAGCGGGCCCGGTAGCCCTCGTAAAGCAGATCGTGCGTCACCTCCTTCAGGTCCTGCAGGTGCGTCTGCACCAGCATGCGTCTCAGGTTCAGGAAATCGCAGTGGTGTGGGTTCTCCACTGGGGGGCGGGCCAGCGAGCGACAAGAGAACTCGGGTCTGCCCAGCCTGCAGCCCTAGGGCCTCCTGGGGAGCGCAGCCCACCCCGAAAGCCCGTGTCGGGCCCCGCGGATTCGCAAGTGGCCCGGGGGTCACTCACCTTCCACGGTACCCCAGGAGTAGCGGCGTCCCCTCACTGGTCGGGTCCCGCCATCCCTCACCACCTCGCAGGAACCCACAACCGCGAAAGGGATGCTGTTCTGGAGGGCGGGGGTCAAGGGGTCACCGCTGGCCCCTGTGGGGTGGGGGGAGGAACCCCTTTCCCGGCGGCCTCTGCCCCCCATGCCCCCGGCACCTTCATTTCTGCATCCTGCCTCTTGAAGTCTTCGTCCTCATCGGAGTCGCATTCCGGGAACTGGTAGATGTTGATCTCCTCCTCCTGCAACTGGTCCCGGATCTCCAGGGAGACAGAGGCAGAGACAGCGAGGAACACGGGGCATGAGTGCAAGACAGTGCATGGCCAGAGACCCAGAGTTACACCCGGTGGTCAGAGACCAGAGAGGGACACGCAGAGACAGAGATGGTGAAATCTGACTGTAGGGAATGACCAGCACCAGAATCTCGGGCACATAGAGGTTTGAGAAACAAACAAAATCCTAAGATGAGGTGGTCACTTGTGTAAACAGTGGAGGAGGGCTCTGAAGACAGTGGGGAGTGGGGGGCAGAGCTTCATGGGGCCAGAGAGAGGTCAGAGGTCATCATGGCTATGCCCCAGCCTCCAGACAGGCCTGCGTATTCACCGGGTTCTCAACCTCCAGAGACGAGGCTTTCCCCTGGCAGCTTCGTGCCACCCTCCTCAGTCACCCCCACAGCCCGCCTAACTGGTCATCCTCCCAAACAGCCATCCAAGATCAAAGCCAAGCCAAAGCTCAAGTTCAAGCTTGATCAGGACTTTTGGCTTTGCTTGGGGCCCCAAAAGGCCAGGGGTCACCAGCAGCCATACCTTCTGCTTGAGGGCCTGGGTCTCCTCGGGCGTCAGGGCGTCTGCCTTGCCAATGACAGGGACGATGTTGACTTTCTCGTGCACTGCCCGCAGGAAGGCCACGTCCAGGGGCCGGAGCCTGCAGCCAGGCGTTGGTCAGGGCCCAGCCCCGGGGTGCAGAGACATCCCCCACCCCCGCCCCCAAAGCCCTCTCCAAATGCCCCAGCTCCCAGGGGGTTCCCCCAGACCCCCGGCCGAAGGGCGAGATGAAGTAGAGGCAGCAGTGGACTCGGGAATCCTGGATGTTCTTCCGGTTCAGGCCACTCTCATCCCGGAGATACTGTTCAAACTGCTCCTCGATGTAGCGCACCACGGGCAGCCAGCTGGGAGGTGGGAGATGGTCAGAGGTCAGAGGTCAGAGGCTGCAGGCAGGGAAGGGGCGGGGCTAGCAAGGACTGTAGGGGGAAGAAGTGGTTTCTCAGCCTCCATTAAAAGGCATTGAGAAGGGGCTGGCGCTGGCACAGCAGGGTGCAGGCAGCGGGTAAGGAATGGCTCTGAGTACGGGGGTCTCTCCATCCATCATCCTCTGGCCCACAATGCATGTCCAGTTACTAGTGTTAATTAAAACTAAATATATGTTTAAGACTTCTGCTCATTTTATTTGACAGACAGAGATCTCTCATGCAGTGGTTCCCTCCTCAAATCCCTGCATTTGAGGACAGGGCCAGGCTGAAGCCAAGAGCCTGGAGCTCCATCTGGATCTCCAGGTGCCAGGGACCCAGGCACTTGAGCCCTTACCCGCTGCCTCCCCGGTGCACATTAGCAGGACACAATGAGAAGCAGATTCAGGGCCCAAACCCAGGGGGATCCTGGGCCTCCCAAGTGGCATCTTTAACCACTGCACCAAATGATTGCCCATATATATATATTTAAATATATATTTAAAGCACAGGGCACCTTGGGCCAGATAGTCCCCAGAAACAGGTGTCACCTTTTGGGTCAGGGAGCCGGGACAGATCAGCTCTGTAACTGCTCCCTGGGTGTCCACCCCACCCTCGGGGCCCCCTCCCCTCCCCTCCCCCTCACCAGTCGGAGCAGTCCACTGCATCCCCAAAGCCAGGCGTGTCCACCAGGGTCAGCTTCACTTTAACACCGCCCTCCTCGATCTCCACGCCCCGGCGCTCGATGGTCAGTGTTTGGGCCAAGCGAGCTGTGAGGACGAGGGTGGGGGGTAGGGGTGGAGGTCTGGGAGCTGTTTAGGGGTCTGAGCAGTGCTCATGTCCTTTCCCAGCATAACCGCTGCCTCCACCCATTTTCCCAGAGAGGAGAAAAAAGGGGGGGGGGCAGTGGTTGCCCAAGTCCCCGGATGGAAAGGCAACACTTGCAACGTGGGGCCTCTCACCGCTGACTTCTGGCACCTGCCGCTCCTCGTAGAGGTTGGTGAGGAACAGGCTGTTGATGAGGGTGGATTTCCCCAGGCCTGATTCCCCTGTGGACAGCACAGACCCACTTGGTTGTTGAAGGGACAGCCGGGGGGGGGGTGTCTCTTAAGGGCAGCCCCCTCCCCCACGCTTCCTCTGCAAACCTGCCACCATGAGTGTGAAGTCAAACCCCTTCTTAACGGACTTGCGATGCAGCTGGTTGGGGAGGGCGGCGAAACCTACGTACTCCTTGTCCTGCTGTGGGGTGGGGGGACCGTTGAAGGCGCTAGGAGTGGCAGGCAACACCCCCCGCATCCCTTAAGCTCAGAGGCTGGGGAGAAACACCCCCCTGTAGATCAACCTGGGGCTAGCGACCCTGGGGGTAGGGGCCCAGGGGCCGAGACGCCTGGGTTCCTGGGCACAAGGACTCACCATGGCTCCCCGAGCTGTCGCTGCACCTGCTGTCGCACCCCACTTCCTCTGGTGGGACAGGAAGTTGAGTGCAGCCAGCGAGGGGGAGGGCAGGGTAGGCAGCTCAGATGCTCAGAACCCGCCCAGAGCAGAGAGCTGGGGGAAGCCAAGACCAAGGGAACCTGGGGGTCCCCCCACCTGCACCCTGTTTCCCATCATCCCTCAGGCAGCTTCGGCCCCTCCATTCTCCACACAGCTTTATTTCAAGCCCCTCAGTAGCCCCCCTTACCATGGTGAGAGGCGGGGTGCGGGCAGAGAGGAAGGAAGCCAGCCGCTGTCCGTAGCAGGTGAGAGGAAGGCTTTGACAGGATGGTTTAGAAACGTTCCAGGGTGGGCGTGCTGGCGCAGCTGGGTAAGCCACACCTCGCCTGTCAGTCCTTGGTCTCCTCTCAATCCAGCTGCCTGCCGACCTGTGCCTGGGAGGCAGCAGGGATGGCTCAGACAGCTCCCTTCCTGCACGTGTGAGATCTGGGTTGAGCTCTGGGCTGCTGGCTTTAGGTCTGCCTGGCTATGAATGTTGCAGGCATTTGGGGAGTAAACCAGAGGACGGATGAAAGATCTCTCTTTCTTTATTTGAAAGGCAGCCTTACAGAGAGAGAGAGAGAGAGAGAGAGAGAGAGAGAGAGAGAGAGATCTTCCATCTGCTGGTTCACTCCCCCAGTGGCCGCAACAGCTGGGGTTGGCCCAGGCTGAAGCCAGGAGCCTGGAACTCCATTTGGGTCTCCCACGTGGGTGCAGGGGTGCAAGCACTTGGGCCATCCTCTGCTGCTTTCCCAGGTGCATCAGCAGGGAGCTGCATTGGAAGTGGAGCAGCTGGGACCCAAACCAGGATGCTAGCATTGCAGGCAGCATTTTAATCCACTGTGCCACACCACCAGCCTCTCTCTCTCTCTCTCTCTCTCTCTCTCTCTCTCTCTCTCTCTCTCTCTCTCTCTCTGCATCACTCTGCCTTTCCCAGTAATACTAATAATAAAGTCCCCAGGGTCTGAGTGGACCAGAAGCTATAAATGGGACCAAGGTGGGAGGGACCAGCAATTTTCTTGCTTGTGCGGTAGATTGAATGAATTCTTGAAAGGACTCCAAGTCTTGGGGTTCCGCAGCCAGAGACCTTGCTTCAGAACCCCCTAGCCCAGCCCAATCAGACTCCTTCAGGGGCTGCCCAGTGACCTCAAAGTCAAGTGCAAGCTCTGGGCCTGTGGCAGCGGAAGCCTCCGGGCGCTGGCTTCCTCACCTGTCTCTCATCACCCAAACGCGCTCAGCTCTCCCAGGTGCGCGCCTCTTTATCCAAAGGGGCTCTGCCTCCTCCCCTGAAGTGGTCTCCGGCTGCCCCCCACCCCCGCAGAGTCATTCTGCTTCCTGTAGCCTCCCCAGCACTGTCACAGCTCCTGCCATGCCCACCCAGGCTGAGCACTCCGAGGGCAAATGCCCCATCTTCTGCTTTCTGGATTCCCCGGTGTCTTGTGCAGGGGGCCTGGCACATAGAAAGACCAAGAAACAGTATTTTAGATGCACAGGGTGCCTGGAAGAACGGCTATAGGGAGTTAGCTGGAGGCTGCAGAACATACAAAAAGAACCAGTGCTTGGTTCCGGTCCCAACTCTTCCATGCTAAATCCCAGCTGCCTGCTAAAGCCCCGGCAGGCCAGCAGATGATGGCCCAAGTACTTGGGTTTCTGCCACTCACGTGGGAGACCCAGATGGAGCTCCTGGCTCCTGGCCAGGGACTGGCCCAGCCACCCCCGCCCCTTCACTGCTGTTGCAGGCATTTGGGGAATGAACCAGCAGATGGAAGATCTCTGTCTCTCCTTCCCTCTCTGTCACTTTGCCTTTCAAATAAACAAATACATCTTAAAAAAAAAAAAAAACCTACCACTTTATAAAGAACAGGAAACATATCTCTAAAAGGAGAGAGAGAGGGAGACGGAGAGAGAGAAAAAGGAAGAACTCCCTAGACCTCAGCTCTCTGCTTACTTGCTGTGTGACCTTGGGTAAGTAACATGACCTCTCTGAACCAGTTTCCAGCTTGTAAAATGAAATGCATTTCAGCTCTGTTATCGGCGCTCCATTTTCGAAGGAATGACTTTGGCCTTGGAGGCCAGCGGTTATTTATCCAACTGTGAGTTTAGCATTGAGGAGCTGGGTTCCCTTTGGTGTGTGCGTTAACCTCAGAGCCCCTGATGCTGGTCTCCTTTACCGCGGCTTCATCTGGATCCCGCCTGCCTCACCAACCCCATTTTCTTTACTCCTCTCCTTTCGGTTCTATTTATTATTCCCCTCTTAGCTGTTATGCACTGAACTGTGTCCCCCGCCCCCACCACTAAAGCCCTGTCTCTTGGAGTAACTGGTAGGAAATCAGCCCGGAGCCAGGTGTGCGGCGCAGCCTCGAAGCCCACGTCCCTCGGTCCCTCTACAGGGAAGAGCCTGCTTCTGGTCCCAGCTCTGCCTCAGGTGCCAGCTGCCGGTTAGCACACGCCCTGGGAGGCAGCAGGATTGTGGGAGCCCAGGGCCAGAAAGCAGGGACATGGAACCTCATACAGTGCATGGGAGGAGGAGGCTCAGACAAACAGCAAAGCTGAAGTTGATCCTTGGAAAGAAAGTGCGTGCTTAAGCAGTAACCTGAGCCCCATTGGTGGCTGAATCTTTTATAGGGGTGATCAGGGGTGGGGGGGCGGCTTAGCCTGCTTCTGGGAGCACCCAGACCATCTGGTCATTATCATATCAACACCTACAGCTGCTAAGGGGAGGTTTTCCAGCTTTTTTTTTTTCTTTCTCAGCTTCCTCTGGTAGCCCTTCTCGGTCTCAAGGTCAAGAATAAGGACAGGGAGGCAGAGACCCAGGAAAAGAAACAGACGGAGGAGACTCCTAGGAGAGAGACTTCTGGAATGTGCTTCTCTCAGCTCCCCCAGTTAACCCTTGGCTGTCTCCTGCCCCAGCACTGTGTTAGACAACTGGATTGGCTTAGGAGTGGACCAGCAGACGGGAGGTTTCTCTTGCTCTCTCTTTCTCTCTGCAGCTCAAAGAGATTAAATCAATAAATTAAAAATATTTTTAAAAGAGAAAAGGCTTTCACAGAGATCAGTAAGGTTACGTGGAGTGTTGAGCGTGCAGCTTAATTCAGTGGTACAAGAGGGAGATGCATCGTGTGTGTGTGTGTGTGTGTGTGTGTGTGTGTACGTGTACACAGAGCCACGTGAGGACACAGCAGACGGGCAGCCATCTGCAGCCCAAGGAGACAGGCCCAGCTGGACACCAAGCCTGCTGGCCTTGACCTTGGACTTGAAGGCTCCAGAGCTGGGAGAAAACAAGCATCCGTTGTTCCTGCTGCCCAGGCTGTGGTGTTTTGTGTGCAGCCTCAGCCAAGAGGGAGAAAGTCCCCCAGCTCGCTCCCCTCCCCTCCCCTCCCCCTCCCTTTCCCTCCCTAAGGCAGGCTGTGGAAGGTACTCAGAGTGCACTTTTCTGTTGCACTTTGAACATCATTTCCTGTACAGAAGGGACATTTTAATGTCCATAAACAGTATATGCTTGCAACGCCGGCAGCCCGGATCAGAACCCCGCTTCCATTCCCCGGCTGATCTAGTTCCCTGCTAATGCACCTGGGAAGGCAGCGGAGAATGGCCCAAGTGCTTAAGCCCTTGCCACCCACATGGGAGACCTGGAGGAAGCTCCTGGCTCCTGGCTGCAGTCTGCCCCAGCCGCAGCCACGGTGGCCATTTGGGGAGTGAACCGGCAGGTGGAAGTTCCCTTTGTCTCCCCTGCCACCCCCAACCCATGCTAACTCCTCCTTCTAGTACTCTGCCTTTCAATGAAATAAATAAGTGAACATTGTTTTAAAGTATATGCCTATATATATATATATATGTATTTTACAGGCAGAGTGGACAGTGAGAGAGAGAGAGAGAGAGAGAGAGAGAAAGGTCTTCCTTTTGCCGTTGGTTCACCCTCCAATGGCCGCCGTGGCCAGTGCGCTGCGGCCGGCGCACTGTGCTCATCCAAAGCCAGGAGCCAGGTACTTATCCTGCTCTCCCATGGGGTGCAGGGCCCAAGGACCTGGGCCATCCTCCACTGCACTCCCGGGCCACAGCAGAGAGCTGGCCTGGAAGAGGGGCAACCGGGACAGAATCCGGCGCCCTGACCGGGACTAGAACCCAGTGTGCCGGCACCGCTAGGCGGAGGATTAGCCTAGTGAGCCGCGGCGCCGGCTCACCTATATATGTTTGTTCAGCATTATTAAATACATATTTATTTATTTATTTATTTGAAAGTCAGAGTGACCAAGAAGAGAGAGACAGAGCCTCCACCTGCTGGTTCACTCCCCAGATGGCCACCACAGCCAGCCCTGGACCTGCTTGAAACCAGGAGCCAGGAACTCTATCCCAGTCTCCCACGTGGGTGCAGGGACCCAAGCACTTGGACCATCTTCCCGTTGCTTTCTCAGACACATTAGCAGGGGGCTGGCTCGGAAGTGGAGCAGCTGGGACTCGAACCGGCGCCCACATGGGACACCAGTGTCACAAGCAGCAGTTTAACCTGCTGCGCCACAGCACTGGTCCCACATCCTTCTTCTATATATATTTTTAATTTTAGCAAAAACAAAACTATTTATTTATTTGAAAGTTAGAGAGACAGAGACAGATAAACAGATCTTCCATCCACTGGTTCACTCCCCAGATGCCCACAACAGTTGAGGCTGAAGCCAAGAGGCCAGAACTCAGGAAGGTGGAATCGGAAGTGGAGGCAAACCTTGGACCCAAACACACCAACATGGGATACACACATTCCAATGGCGTCTTTCTCTCTTTTTTAATGTATTGATTGATTTGAAAAACACAGTGAGAGAGAAAGAGAGAAAGCTTCCATTCGTTCACTCTAGGCCAGGCTGAAGCCAGAACCCTGGAACTCCATCCTGGTCTCCCACGTGGGGATCAGCAGCTGGACTGGAAGCTTGGAGTAGCTGGACTTGAATTAGGTACTCTGATATGAGATACAGGTTTCCCAGGCAGCAGCTTAACCCACTGGCCACAGCCTGCCCCCATACCTCCCTCTATGACAATAAATTAGTCAGATGTGGTATCTTTTGTATTTGAGAGGTAGAGTTACAGACACAGAGAGAGGTCTTCCATCCACTAGTTCACTCCCCCAGAGGGCTGCAATGGCTCAAGCTGTGCCGATCCAAAGAAGGAGCCAGGAGCCTCTTCCTGGTCTCCCATGCTGGGGCAGGGGCCCAAGCACTTGGCCATCTTCCACTGCTTTCCCAGGCCATAGCAGAGAGCTGGATCAGAAGTGAAGCAGCTGGGACTCAAACCTGCGCCCATATGGGAAGCTGGCACTGCAGTTCGCGGCTTTACCCGCTACCCCACAGTGTCGGCCCCCTACCTAGCTGGAGGTCTTCATCAGCCCCCACTCCAGCCAGGCTCTGGACCTCGGTGAAACCTTTGCCATCCTGCTAAGGCCAGCACAAAAGCCACCTTGTCCTTCGGTGGTTCCTCCGGCCAGGAGTCCCTGCTGAGTGCTGTCCATGCCTTCATCCCCGGCCATCCTGGTCGGGTTTGATCACTCCGATTCTATAGTTCAGGAAAGAGAAGTTTAAGTAACTTCCCAAAGCCCAGACAGCAATTACATGACACGGCAGGGAACCAAACCGCGGGAGTGACCTAACACAGCACCCACGCCGCTGAGCTCTGCGCAGCTCTCCACGCACGGCGCTTCTGCAACGACCCGCTCCTGCAGCCAGTGTAGACAGGGTAGAACTTGTCACGGCATCTACACTGCTCCACATCCCACTGGGCCAGGTGCTCTTGGGGAGTTTTTTTGTATTTTCCGAAATAGCCTCCTTTTGGTTGGTGATCAGTAAGTGTGTGTGTTGGCTGATGTGCGACCCCCGTCTCTGTCTGTCTCTAAAGTCCCTGGGTATGAGCTATAATCTGGCAGGATGGGAACCCGGATGCCATAATCCCGAATGGTGAAATCCCCAGAAGATTAAATCCTGAAAATAATTCTGAAAAAAAATTCCTTTTTTTAAAAAAAAAATTTATCAGAGTTGTAGAGGAAAAGGCAGAGAGAGAGAGAGAGAGCGAGAGCGCGCACACTTCCATCCACTGGTTCATTCCCCAAATGGTCGCAGTGGTCAGAACTGAGTTAGGCAGGAGCCAGGAGCTTCATCCAGGCCCCCCATGTGGGTGCAGGGGTGCAAGCACTTGGGTCATCTTCCTCTGCTTTCCCAGGGGCATTAGCAGGGAGATGGATTGAAAGTGGAACAGCTGGGACTCAAACCAGCACCCATATGGATGCCAGCATCACAGGCAGTGGTTTTACCTGCTGTGCTGGCCCCTTGAACAAAAATTTTCAAAAGACTATTTCAAAGTCATGTCTTTTCATTTTTAAAGAGGGATTTTATTTAAGAAACATTAAAAACGCGGCAATTCCCTAGGCCACTTTACAAAATAAAATATAGATATTAATAACATACATATTTTTGCAAACAGACACTCAGGTATACTAATGATAGCCATGTAACAGTTATGAGCAGATGAAATGTGTTCCTTAAAAAATAGTCCAGGGGCTGGTGCTGTATGTAGCGCAGTAGGTTAATCCTCCGCCTACAGCGCCAGCATCCCATATGGGCGCCAGTTCTAGTCCTGGCTGCTCCTCTTCCAATCCAGCTCTCTGCTGTGGCCTGGGAAAGCAGCAGAGAATAGCCCAAGTCCTTGGGCCCCTGCACCCGCATGGGAGACTGGGAGGAAGCTCCTGGCTCCTTCGGATCAGCGCAGCTCCAGCTGTTGTGGTCATTTGGGGAGTGAGCCAATGGAAGGAAGACCTTTCTCTCTGTCTCCCTCTCACTGTCTGTAACTCTGCCTCTCAAATAAATAAATAAATAAAATCTTTTTGAAAAATTATAAAAAATCGTCCAAAAGTGAAACATGAACGTGTATCACCATGGTTGGCAGTTGCAGCTTTTTTTTTTTTTTTTTTTAAGATTTATTTATCTGAA